CCCGGGTTAGCCTTCCAGGGTTGGATTTGCTCCTTTCTTCCCAGTGCTGGGGTTAGAGCCTTGGCAGCGAGGACAGGAGCCCCTCAGGCTTATTTTTTTAATGGTTTTAATAGCATAAGAAAATGGTTTTCTTGGATTTTGCCATCTTCTTGTTTGGTGTCATAAGTTTTGGCTGGTGCTGACAGTGATTATCCATCTGGGGCCCTCAAATGAAGGAAATGTTTTTGTGGGTCTGATCAGTTGAATTTCATTTTTTATTGTGACAGCCTTGCAGCCTGAAGCCAGAACTCAACCACAGGCCCTGGCAAATAGATTGCTTGAAAGCATCCACTATTGAACACTGGGATTACAAACATGCATTTCTTTTTATTCTTCCAGAACTATATGATGTTTGTGTCTTGGTCAGACCAGAACAACATTCTCATCTACCGGACATTCGAAGATTTTAAGAGGTTCCATGTAAGTTAATTTTTGTTTTTCCCTGAAAAGAGGATTCCAGTCCTAGGGGAGGGGGGAAGGATCCGTGCTGGGGCTGCCAAGCACCAATATTCTCTCCTCCTTGCTTTTAGAAAGAACTGAAGAAAAAGTTCCCCATCGAGAGTGGCTCAGTCAGGAGCTCTGACCGGACCATACCCAGGTTTAGAGGTAAGGACAAATCTCTGCTGGACCAACAGACACAAAAGAGCTGTGAGGGACAGTCATAACCAATGACAGACTCTGAGTCTCACCTCCCTCTGGTCTGACCAACAGCTCGTGGGTGACATCATGGTGCCTGGATCTGTCACTGGCTTAAAGTAACCCAGAAAGGCTTTAAATAGATAATTGCACTTGGTAAATTCAGGTCCTTTCCAACCCATCCTATGAATATTGCACTTTAAATACTGGCCCAGAGCTCCTTGCAACATTTAAGTGGGAACAAAGATAACATTTAGATACTCAAAAATTGTCTCATGGAATCATAGAATCATTCTGGTTGGAAGAGACCTCTCAGATCATCAAGTCCAACCATTGCCCCAGCACTGCCAGGTCCCTGTTAACCCACGTCCCTCACACCACATCTCCACAGCTTGGAAACCCCTCCAGGGGTGGGGACTCCACCACTGCCCTGGGCAGCCTAGACAACCCCTTTGGAGAAGAAATTGTTCCTCAGGCCCAACCTAAACCTTCCCTGGCATTTTTTTTTTTAATCAAGCATTATTATAAATGATAGGGAAGAAGAGGCAGCTGCTGTCTCAGCTTCTTACAGGTTGGGCTTGGGTAGGGAAGGGTGGTAGGTGAGGGCATCCCATGTTCAGGCAAAAGATGCTGCTCCCAAGGGATCCAGATCCATTGTTGTCTTACACCAGCTTTGCTCCTGTTCTTTTAAAGATGCAAATGTGAAGCACAGGAAGAGTGGGAAGCTGAAGAGGTGCCTGGAGATACTGAAGCTGCTGGAAACTTACTGCCAGGAGCTGCTGAAAACAGATGCTAAAATTTCCCAGGGTGAAGATGTGATTCAGTTTTTCAAGGCACAGACCCAAGACCTAGATCCCTCCTTTCCTGAAAACAGGTATGAGATCATTGCTTTATTTTTTGTTCATATGCATCTTCATGAAACAGAAATGTAATAGAAGAGAACCAGGGCAGCAGAGCAGGGAAGGGCTGCTGAATGTTTTCCTACAGACTGAGGTTGTTTCCAACACCTGAGCTTTTCTTAGCCTACTGCATAGATGATTTTACCAAAATCAACACTAAACTCAACCTTCCCTGTGAATTTTCAGTAAGCTGATATTAAACTTTCCTCTCCAGTGTTGTGATCATGCCATCAGAAATTGGAGCAAAAAGCCAGGGACAGCAGCAGCTCTCCTCCATCACCCACCCCCAGGCATCCCAGAGCTACAGATGCATCGAAACCTTTGAAACCAAGGACACCAAGAACAAACCTTTCAAAGCCACTGAGAAGGAAATCCTTGAAGTGCTCATCAAGGACATGACTGGTATGTGTGGCAGGGATGCTGCAGGTTCAGGGGGGGATGGAGGGGATGGAGGGGATGGATTTGAGTCAGTGGCATCAGGGGGGTGGGGGGTGTTTGTACCTGTGCTGTACTTCCCTGGATTTACAGGGGAGGGTGGAACAGCCTCACCACAGCCTGGGCCAGGCAGGGAGCTGCTCTGCAGAACCTCCCTCCTGCAGCAGAGCAGCCCCTACTCAGGGATTACAGCCCTTGGCCTGCTTGCAGCTGTAAAACTCCCTTTTTTTGTTTGTTCCTGTGTGCTGCAGGATGGTGGCTAGTGGAAAATGCTGACAAGCAGATAGCCTGGTTCCCAGCCTCCTACCTGGAAGAGATTGACATCCACAGGGACATCCAGAACGCCCTGAGCTCAAATGAGGAGGGTAAGGCTGCTTCTGAGCCCTGGCACACCACCCTCCTCCCCCCAAAAAAATGAGTTCTGAAAAACAACCCCACCACTTTAACAACTGCTTAAACAACTCTGGAGCCCCCAGCACAAGAAGGACGTGGAGCTGTTGGGATGTGTTCAGAGAGCCACAGAGAGCTGGAGCAGCTCTGCTGTGAGGACAGGCTGAGGGAGTTGGGGTTGTTCAGCCTGGAGAAGAGGAGG